CCCATCCGTTGCCCCCCACAGTATCGGTGTCTGGGAGCCTCCTCCCCATTTCCAGCACAGCCATATAGACCCCACCCCCTGCCCATCCCTTTTGGTTCAAGGGAGGATGGGACGGGGGGAGCCGAGCCCTAGGCCTGTGACCCCTGCAGCCCTGCACCCCACAGGAGCTGGGGCAGTAACAGTTCCCCCACAGGCAGACCTGCCCCTGCCTACCTGCCCCATCAGCCTTTGTGCTCTCAGGGGGAAAGCGCCAGCTACAGCCTAGAGGCTGCCCAGGGATCAGACCCCACCTGCTGTGTTGAGCTCCAGGGGGACATGTCCCATTCAGGGGCGAGCTGACTGCTCTTCCCCCACAAACTCCCTGCAGTAGGGTCACCCACAGGGGCCCCTATAGGGGCATCCCCCTGGGCTGGTTTGCAGGAGGGTGGGGGGGGGGAAGAGCCTCTATCAGACCCAAACCACCAGCTCAATCAGAGGAGGAACCAAAACCAACAGTGGAGACTCCAGCCAGAATCTGAAGGGGGAAGGAGCTGGTGTCTTGGGGCTGGGGACAAAGTCACAGGATGATGAGCTGCCTCCAAGGGTGCCATGGCTACTAGCACCTCCCCCCTGCTCCAACCACTAGATGCCACTCCCCTCCCAGAGCCAGGGATGGAACCCCGGAGTCCTGGCTCCCGGCCCTACTGGGGATATATCAGTAGTGGATGGTGTGTGTGACACTGACCCTGTTGCATGAGGACTTTTTCCCTTCATAACCCTGCCCCATGGTGTGTGACAGGGAGCAGAGCCCAGGCCCTGCTTGTCCCACTCTCCTGGCCTGACAGCTGCCCAGCACCGCCTCTCTCCCCTGGCACTGCACCTTTAGCATCAGGACAGGGTCTGACTTAGGGCCCGGGCCGAACACCCTGCCACTCAGCGCGCCCATGGCCCACCACAGCCCAGCTGCCTGCACAGGTCCCAGCTGTCATCACACATGGTGCCCCAGCACCCATCCAGAGTCACCTCCACCCACCCGGCGCAGCGATGGGGGCTACCTACCGGCCTCACCTCTGGCAAAGCAAATGCAGCTGCTGGGACGCCTGCTCCAGGGCTTCATGGGGAGATCCCAGGGACTGCAGGGACTGAAGGCCCAGCTCAGTGTGAGGCATTGCCAGTGAGTGCAGAACAGGGCAGAATGGGTTTTCCCGTGACACTAACCCTGGGCCCTTCTCCCGCCACATGCTGCACAGACAGGTCACTGAGACCCAGGAAATGGTGCAGCATCAATGCCCCTGCTTTACAGAGGGGAAACTGAAGCACAAAGACAAGACACAACTTATTCCCTGCTCTGCACAAGGCTCACTGTGTGACCCGGGGTAGACAGTCTCCTCACACCCCTGCTCTAACCACTAGACACCACTTATTAGCTGCAATGACATACTTTGTATGAGAATTGTTGCAATTATATAACAGTGGTAGCAAAAATCATCTACATGGTCACATTTTAATCAGATAATGTCACACCCGGGATGCCACTTGGAACTGGGGTACCATTGAGCCCACCTGTCCCACCAGCCTGGGCTCCCTTGACACTGTATTGCTGAGGCAAGCCAGCCAAGCCATGAGGCTTCAGATTGCACTTAACCAGCACACACATAGGTAGGGAAACGCTCAGCTGCAGTTTCACACAGAGGCTGAGATCAGCTCTGCATGGGAAAGCTCAGCTAAGGAATTGCCCACCCCTCAAGTGCACCCCCCCCCTCTGGAGTGTAAACCCAACATTGTATCGCCTTGCGCTGCACAGAGAACTATACACTGTAAGCTTATTGAAATTCCTCCCTCCCTCAATGCGGAGGAAGATATGCACAGCTTTTTGTCCCCGAACCCCAGTTGTGAATTCCACAAACTGGTTTTAGAGAAAACAAAAACAAGTTTATTAACTACAAAAGATAGATTTTAACTGCTTATAAGAGATAGCAAACAGATCAAAGCAAATTCCCACGTGGGTCTTCAACTTCCCATCACTTACCACATGGTTCTTCAACCAGGGGATGCTGTTCCAGGAAGAAGGACTGCTAGTAAGAGATGGGATCTACCTAACGAAGAAGGGCAGGTGCCTCAAAACTCCCCTCAAGTGTCGCGGGATGAGGGAACATATGTGGGGCCAGCCAGGATGTCCCCACTGCCTGAACACCAGAGGGTGGCAGGGTCACCATCTTAGCCTTGGCAGGGTCGGGGACTGGGGAGCTGGCACCACACTATGGGGCATCATTTCCCCCATTCAGTGGACTACACCAGATTAATACAGACATCGAGGGATTACACGCTTGGAGATATTTTGTAGCAGTAAAGCAACAATTACTTTCTTTGTTGTTGTTTCTGACTTTTGTTTATCCACACAGTCAAGGGGCCCTAAAGGATTATTTTCTGAGAAGTGACTGAAAACAGACTAAAGCCCTGGAGCAGAGGGCCTGGGGGAAATCAAAAGGCAGAGCTGAAGTGGAAGAGGGCAAGATCCCAAGTGAAGATTTGAAGAAGAGGGTTGGGGAGTTGAGTGGTTCTGGGCTACTTTGCAATGGCCCAGCCACTCTACAACCTATATTCCTAACCACAGGCACACGGGGCCCCTTGCTAGAGACACAGGCTGTCCACAGGCCTTTTGTAGTTGACACACTGTGACCGAACGGGCATAAAATAAAAAAATAATATAAGGGTGTGGCCTACTGCCCCCCCTAAAATTCCCCTCCCCCAGACTCTGGAGCAAATAGAGGCAATGTCAGGAAATTCTGTGAGTCAAGGTCATAACTCAGACGGATCTCTGATTGGTCCCTCCCCTGCAGCTGCAGGTGATTGGTCCTGCTCTGCAGCCACAGCAGCCGGATACCACAATGGATGGCAGAATGGGGGGGCTGTAAGGATGAGTGATGGGGAGAGGAGGCAGAGGCGGCACAAGGGAGCGGGATCAAGGGAAAGGGGTGGCACAAGGGCAGGGTCTTGGGGAGAAGGGAAGTGCGAGGGAGGGGAGTCCAGCGGAAGGGGCTGTGTGAGGGCAGGGTCTCTGGGAGAAGGGGCTGTGTGAGGGCAGGGGCTCTGGGGGAAGGGGCTGTGCGAGGGCAGGGGTCTGGCGGAAGGGGCTGGTTGAGGTCAGAGGCTCTGGGAGAAGGGGCGGTGCGAGGGCAGAGGTTTGGGGGAAGGGGCTGTGTGAGGGCAAGGGGTCTGGGAGAAGGAGCTGTGCAAGGGCAGAGGCTCTGGGGGAAGGGGCTGGGCGAGGGCAGGGGCCCTGGGGGAGGGGGTAGTGGAGGTGAGAGGCTCTGGGAGATGGGGTGGTGCAAGGGCAGGTATTTGGGGGAAGGGGCTGTGTTAGGGCAGGGGCTCTCGGAGAAGAGGCGGTACGAGGACAGGGGCTCTGGGACAAGGAGCAGTGCGAAGGCAGGGGCTCTGGGAGAAGGGGTGGCGTGAGCACGGTGGGTCTGGGGGAAGGGCTTTGCGAGGGCAGGGGTCTGGGGCAAGGAGCTGTGCGAGGGCAGGGGTCTGGGAGAAGGGGCTGTGTCAGGGCAGGGGCTCTGGGAGAAGAGGCGCTACTACGGCAGGGGTTCTGGGAGAAGGGGCGGTGTGAGGGCAGGGACTGTCGGAGAACGGGCGGTGCGAGGGCAGGGGATCTGGAAGAAGGGGCTGTGTGAGGGAGGGGAGTACAGGGGTGTGACGAACTGGGACTGCTCTTACTGTGGTCTTTGAATGCTGACAGGGGAGTGTGGCTAGGATGGTCTGCATTGGGGAATGGGAGACTGGCCGAGGGAGAATACCTGAGCATTTAACATGAGAACCCAGGAAGGGGTTAGAGGCCAGGTGACACCTTGGCCCGGGAAACTGAACAAAGGCTGGGGAGAGAGTTCAGCGCTGGCTGGTGACATGGCTGGGAGGCAGATGGGGCTCTGACCTCCCAAGGTGGCTAGGGTGCCCTGGGACCCCAAGATGGACCTAACTGAGGGGGCCCTGTTGTCTGTGTCTGCAAGACCTGTCTTGGACTGTATTCCTGTTGTCTAAATAAACCTTCTGCTTTACTGGCTGGCTGAGAGTCATAGTGAATCACAGGAAGCCGGGGATGCAGGGCCTTGTGTCCCCCCACTCTCCGTGACAAGGGGAAGGGGCAGAGAGAGGGCCGGGACTCAGCGGAAGGGGTGGTGTCAGGGTGGGGGCTCTAGGGGAAGGGGCGGTGCGAGGTGTGGGCTCTGGGGGAAGGTGCGGTGCGAGGACAGGGGCTCTGGGAGAAGGGGCGGTGCAAGGGCAGAGGTCTGGGGAAAGGGGCTGTGTGAGGGCAGGGGCTCTGGGAGAAGAGGCCGTACGAGGGGACGGGCTATGGGACAAGGGGCAGTGCGAGGGCAGGGGCTCTGGGAGAAGGGGTGGTGTGAGCGTGGGGGCTCTGGAGGAA